CATCCTGGGAATGCTGGTAGCAATGTCTGAGCTTCAGGTGGAATGTACAGCTCTTAGCCATACCTTAACTGTTCTTCTTGTACATGTGTTAAATTATTTCAGTGAGTTGTAGGTCATCAGTATCTCATTGGAGTTCTGTTAGTTTCTCTCTTGATATGGATTCAGAGCTTGCTCAAACATTAAGTGGCCACGCCTCAAATCTGTGCTAAGTTATTAAATGTATATTCATGTTGGCACATTAATGCTCCCTTTTTATCTGGACAGTATTCAGTGAGAGGCTTTCCTCTGAGAACTAGAAACATCCTGGCCAGGTTTAAATGGAGGGCCTGTGTCAGTAATTTAGACCTGTGTAACTGTATTCTTGATGACCAAAATGCATTTTTCAGTGTGTTGTTAACCTTTGTACAGGGGTTAAACCCTGTAAGAAGAATTCTTTGGCTGTACAGTGCTGGCTGATAATTTTCAGGTGCTTGAGTTTCTCTGTATTGAATTTCCCCTGTATATTCTGCTGTTAGCTTGAGTTACAAGTCTGGCACTCTTGACACTTGGAAGTAAAACGACTTACTTAACTCCAAAGTCTCTGCTCAGTCTTGTTCCTGCTAACTTGTTCTGGGAGTAGTGACAGGTCTTGCTCTGTTGCATGGGAGCCTGGACTCTGAAGACTGAAGTTCAAATATTGATAAAAGAGTAAGAGGTACAGCAAGTGTCTGAAGGTGACAGCAGGTAAGTTAAAAACCCATTACAGAGCTCCTCCTCTTGGCTCCAGTCTGATGCTTCGCCTGCCAGGTCATTCTGAAAACCTTGGGGAACCAATGTTCTCATGACCATTAGGAGATCACTAGAATAGTTTGATAGCCAGGTGCTGTGCAGTAATTATCCTTCTTTAGTCAAGTACTGGTCAGTGCTTCTTAACCAAGGTCATCCTGCAGCACCCTGCCATACCTGGGAGCAATGGGAAGTGTGGTGGGTTGTCTGTCCAGGACTTTCTAGCTCTTTAATAAAAATTACTTACATACAGCAAGAGGTTTACTGTTTCAGCAAATTCTTCCTCCCTCACTAACAGAACATTACAAGTAGCTTTGCTTTTTTGTTGAGTTCAGTTGAAGGCTTTTTGCAGAAAAGAGACCTCAATGGGCACATCCCTGATCAGATCCCAAGGTCATGCAGGTATTGATATAATCAAGAAACCTGATTGATGTTCCTCAGAACATCCTGTACTTCCACACAGCCTCAGTGTGGCACTGAGAAGTGTCCCTGTAGAGTCTGACTGTGACTGGGAGGGAGGAAAAGCAAGATGGATGGAAGTGGTAATGAAGGAGGGAGTGTCTGCAATGAGAGAGCAGACTGTGGTGGTGCCTCCTGTGGTAATACTTTATGGGAGAGTTCCGTGGTTCTGAGAGGATCTCTTCAGGAATTCAAGCTATTAAACAGGTTGTAAAATTGAAACAAAAGCCTCCTGCAAAGTCAAATGTGCCAGGCTGGGGAAAAAGCCAGGTTGGTACAGGGGAATAGGACCAGAGCAGTTTTAATCAGTCTGGCTTAATGAGTGGAGAGGTGCTGTGGCCTCGTAAAAGGTTGCAGCCAAACAAATTGTCATCTGTCCTTTGGAGTTGAGACATTTTTTCCTGTTGAGAGCAGGTGCTCAGACTCCAGCATGATGCTCCTCATAAAAGTCCTCCTAGCTCCAGGCTGCAATTAGCAGTTTCATCCTGTTTGTTTATCAGGAGAAGACTGCTTCTCTGTCCAGAAAAATCCCAGTGCGTGCCCCACTTTCTCACACTGGTTCCTAAGTTTTCTACATGAGGATTTTCTATCCTTCCTCTAAAGTAGTAAGAGGCAGGAGAAAAGGAAAAAACCTTCCCTTATTGTTTCCCCTTGGCATAGGTGGTGTGAAGACTCTGCCTTTAGAACAATGTGTGGCAAGAATATACATTTTCTGTGGTGTTTTTCAGACTGAACAGGTGAGATTTACCTGACTAACTTTGCACAGAAGTGAGTCTTTCCAACGACTGCTCTCCAGGAAGGCTGGCTTTATTTGCACTGTGAATATGTTGTTTTAAATGGAGTTCTGCTCATCTTAACAGTCTGATGCCCTGGGAGAGGGAGACCTACTGCTAACTTTGTGCCTCAGCCAGGCTGTGCCAGAAAAATAACCTGCAGGGGAGAGTCTTCTACTGACGGGTGTGGAGTTGGACACGCAGCTTCTCACCCCTGTGATCTGATTTTCTAGGCTCTCTGCTTCAAGTTTGATTAATCAGAGTAAAACCTGCCTCAGTTGCTACTACAAATCTGGGAATTCATCCTGCTGCTGCTCTGTCTGCATCATCCCTCCTAGACCTCTTGTCCTTGAGCCACAGGTTGCTCTGGTACCAGAGACCAGGCCAGGAGCTGCTCTGGGTACACACAGCACTGTCTGTTCCCTTAATTCAAGCTCTCACCCTGGAAACACAGGCCCATTGCCAGGACAGTCACAGTCCTGGTGCTGTGTGGATGTAAGACATGCTGGGGTCTTGTCCTGCTCATGCAATGCCAGATGAGAGGCTCCTGCTGTGGATTTCTCCCAGTTAAACTGTTGGAAAACGAGCACATTCCTGGGATCAACACAGGCACGGTAGGATTTACCCAGTGCTGTTTGGCTCCACTCACATCCCTGTTCATCAATAGTGGTTTGTACTTGGATTTTTGTGGAATATCTTCCCAGACATTATGCATTTGCAGAGTGGATACATTCAAATTTTCAAATCCTGCTGAGAAGACCAGATGGACAACTGGCTTATTGTCACCAGAATGTCAGTGTCAGCTGGACGGCTTCACACGCAGTGCCAGGTACAATTAGGACACACATTTGGGCTGCTTGAAGCCAGGCTTCAATTTTTAAAGCACGAATGTGTTGACAGAGCTTGTTCCTTGCTTAGGTCTGAAGGTCAGAGTCTCCTTCTTGCTACTGCCTGTTTGAGGCAGGAGTTGAACAGCTCAGCATCCCTCTGGAGGGGAGGCAGAAGGGGAAGCAAAGCCCCCAGCCCCACTCCAGGCTGCCACCTCTGCTGCCTCAGGATGATTGTTGGTTTTTTTTGTCAGTTAGAGCCAGGGTGGGTTTGATCCCCTGTGCTTTTGTTGCATTTAAATCCAAAATAATGAGAGGAAGGTCTTTCTGGGTTTGCTTTGTGGTGCTTTCTGTGACATAAGAAAAATCATCATTTAGTTATTTTTCTAGGAGCATTTTATGGGACATTTAAGTTGTAATTGTTTTTTGTTTGTTTCAGAGAAGGTAATTTTCCCATATCAAGATCCCCTTACCCTTTTTCCTCCCTCCCTTTCCAAGGTCCAATCAGAGAAATAGGGGAGGGAAATCACCCCCATATCTGCAGTCCAGGAGTTTGAGAGAGCTTTCATTAAGAGGGGAGCAACTTTGACTGCCAGTGCTTTATCACTAACCCCCTGGGAGCTCAAGGAGGACAGTTCAGAACCATGAGAGAAGACCCTAAATTTCCCCAGGGCTGTGTCTGCTGCTGAATGTTGAGGAACCATTCCTCTTTCTGCCCTGTGGTGACAGGCTGGCTGCTAGATGGTAACAGGAACCAATTGTTAAAGGTATTACAGTGTGGTGGCAACTTGAAATTCCTCATTCTGATTTTGTGAGGTCCCTACCCAAATCATTGTGATCTTATGAGGATAATAAGACACTGGCCCAAATTGCCCAGGAGGTCCTGGCTTGTCCCATCCCTAGAGGTGTTGAAGAGCAGGTTGGATGGGGCTTGGAGCAACCTGGGCTGGTGGGAGGTGTCCCTGCCCATGCAGGGGGTTGGATCTAGATGATCTTTAAGTTCCCTTCCAACTCAAACCATTCTGTGGTTCTATGATCTTTATTAAAGCTGAAGCTTTTTTTTTAGGTGCTAGATCCAAGCCCATCAAGGTGCTGCTGGTCAGCTCCTGCTGTTTCCCCATCGACCCCGGAGGAAGCAGAATTATCTGGCAACCAGTAGCCCTACAGAAAAGCCAGTAGTGTCTGGGCTGTGAGGCAGCTCGTGGGCCATGTGGACAGCAAGTTGGTGTGTCCCAGCCATAGCTGGGAGGAACTGGGCTCAGTCCTAGGAAATCACACCCTAATTTTGGGTGACCTAAATACTCCTGTGCTCTCTTGCTGTTCTGGTGTGTCCCATCCCTTCTATAGGTTATATAAGAAAAAAGCCATTCCTCTTCCTTCTCTTTGCCTGTATGAAACCTACTCCAGGAGGTCCTGGCTTGTCCCATCCCTAGAGGTGTTGAAGAGCAGGTTGGATGGGGCTTGGAGCAACCTGGGCTGGTGGGAGGTGTCCCTGCCCATGCAGGGGGTTGGATCTAGATGATCTTTAAGTTCCCTTCCAACTCAAACCATTCTGTGGTTCTATGATCTTTATTAAAGCTGAAGCTTTTTTTTTAGGTGCTAGATCCAAGCCCATCAAGGTGCTGCTGGTCAGCTCCTGCTGTTTTCCTCATCGACCCCGGAGGAAGCAGAATTATCTGGCAACCAGTAGCCCTACAGAAAAGCCAGTAGTGTCTGGGCTGTGAGGCAGCTCGTGGGCCGTGTGGACAGCAAGTTGGTGTGTCCCAGCCATAGCTGGGAGGAACTGGGCTCAGTCCTAGGAAATCACACCCTAATTTTGGGTGACCTAAATACTCCTGTGCTCTCTTGCTGTTCTGGTGTGTCCCATCCCTTCTATAGGTTATATAAGAAAAAAGCCAT